TCCCACCGAGACTTGAACTCGGGTTACTGGATTCAGAGTCCAATGTCCTGACCACTAGACCATGGGACCTTGTTGAAAATATAAGATAACAATATTTATAAATCTAATTAGAAAGTACTAACCCCTTCCTACACCCCTAATTACCAAGAAGTATGATTTACACCATAAATTAAGTATATCTTGAATTGATCATGTCATAAAAGTTCATTATTTTCTTCTTGAACAAAACATTGTAAAGGTAAGGTTGTATACACATAACTCTCTCTAGTCCTTAATTATGCGATTACCCTGAATATGCACTCTCTCTAGAGAGTTTTTATGTGATTACCTTAGATATGTTGTTATTATTGTCGTAAGGAAAAACTTGAAAGAGAAAGGCAGGGAGCACTTTGAAAGCAAAAGAGGTTTACTAATCCAACATTAACCATGTTTTAAGGACCCAAATATTCCGGCAAGTGTTAATGTAAACACACCAAAATCAGGAGAGAAGGAATAAATTAAGGTATGTGGTCTCCATCAACTCTTCCACGTGCTAAATCTATATTGATAGTTGAAACATTGTAAAAATATAACTTTTATATCGGTATTTATCTTGGTATAGCATTCGCGAAAAGCTCACACTTTATTTGCGTTATTCTATCATCTAAAAAAGACCTAGGACTGAAAAAGTCATTCGGAGCACATGCCTAATTAATTGCTAGATTAGAGTGTTTAAACTTTTGGATATTATAATTGGAATTAAATAGGCATTTTGATTAATGGACGATACAAAATTAGGAGAGAAGAAATATCATAAATTGTTTGGTCTTAAATCTTAATCAACATATTTATTATTTAGGTGGCCATTTAATATTCCAATTTATATTAGCCAAATCTGTTTATAATGATAGCTCAAACATCAATGGCAAGCACAAACATTGTCCAACTCTGAAATGTAGTTGAAACACCTAAATCATGAAATAATTTTGTTAGCAAATCCTTGTAATCCTACCAAACCTACAATCAACAACATGTTGTTTTAGTTGGTTTAGTTTGTCATTAACGATACGGGTGAATATAATAGAATTTTGTAAATTTTGTTTGAATCTTATGTATATTTTACTAAATATATATAAAATTAAAATGTAAAATCGAATTACTAACGTGTAAAGTTATTATCCTACCATTATCAAAATCAAATTTAAATTTTATATACACGTCTATCAAACAAAAGTATTGTCCCACTCATGATTTTGATTTGTCACGAAGCGTCATGAGTGATGTGTATTTTAAATACAATAATAAGGTTATTTTTATATTATAAAGACTAAAAAATTCAAATTGCATCTAAATTTTTCTATCATTGCAATTTATTACTTTCTTTGATAGCATACATACAATGATACAAATGGAAAGAGTATTACTCTATGTTATGCCCATAATATTGAACTACCAAAAGTTATAATGAAATAGTAAGTTGGAGTAATATTCTTTTATTTTAAATTAGAGATTTCAGATTTGAGCATTGAATATAGAGTCACATCTGCTAGAGATTCATTTATCTCAAAATGGAACTTTTCAATGTAAATCCGAATTAATTAAATCCAAAAACAAATACTGAATACCACATGGAAAACCAAAATCTTATATGCCATAGCCATTAAAGTTCCCTTATTCAAAATCATTACTTTGAACTTTTCTTATGGAGGAAAAGATATATATAGGGTCAATTTCAATATTCTTTTGTTGTGTAGGACCGATATATATGTATGCATTAGTCATTCGTTTTTCTTGCTTTCACATGTAGTCAAAATTTTATGTGGTTTATATTATTTTTTTAAAAAAAATCAAAATAATAATCTTCTGTTATATAATTTGTTTCTAAGGATATGTATTTCATTATTTGATCTTCTTCATTTTTATATTAATTATAACATTATATTGTGCAACCTACGTGCATGCCACTTAAATAAACGGTGTAGATATTTGTGCTATCAACAATTAGGTTAAGCAAAGTCTTTCTCTCAATACATTTATTGCAAAATATTTTTTAAAAATAATAATATTTAATTGGTCAAATTTAAAATTTTCAAAGAAAAAAGGTTCCTTAAATATCAGAAAAATGACTTTTCTGATAAGAGTACGTAAGAAAAATAAATTCCACAAGTGACATTTTATGTTGAATATCCCCTTCCCACCCCCAACCTTCATACTATTTGTCTACATTATATATAAATACTTATAAGATAATAATTTTCACTTATTCACAAAATATCAGAAACTAAGTAAGAAAATCATTTATTTTTCGAAAAAATATAGTTGATTTTTTTTTCCTTCACTCTAAACAAACATAGCCTCCTCTACCATTCAAATTCCATTCTACAAAAGGAGTAAATGCAGAAAAGACTTTTGAACTAAAATAATGTTCTTTATAATATCTAATATGTGTAGGATAGAGACTAGACAAGGACCTCAATTGCTATATCTATTAGCTTTTTTTTTCAACCTTTTATCCAATTATTCAAATACCTAACCACATGTTATTATTAAAAAGAGGTCCCAATTCTATTGTCCTACTATACTATGGCCTATATATATATATATAAATAATAATATAATATAATATAATATTCAACTTCATTTTCACCATTTATATGATTTTCCTAGTAAATGAAATTTTGTCAATTTTGTTGACAAATGTTTTTTTCTTTTCTTTTGTGTTTGACAAAATTAACTAGCCTATGCACAAATTAGTCAACATATATATAATTATTGTCTTGTCTAGTTATAAAGAGATTAAATTAAGAGCATATATATATATTATGTTAGAGGCATTTTAAAAAATTATGAAAGAATACGAAAAAGTTTTAAATCTTAATACAAATAAGATAAAAGATCATTGAATAAGTGCGAAGAGAGTTTGTTTAAAGAATAAGTGTTAAGTTGACTACCATGAACAATACATTAATTTGTTATTAAAATAATTTGTGCTTAATTTGATCACATTTGAGAATAATTAGTTGATTTAAATTTCAGCTACATTTACAAAGTTGTGATGTAGTGTTAGTATTCATCCTTTCTTAATCATAAATTTCAAATGTAAGGCGTGAAAATGAAATATGTTTTAATCAGGACCGTCTTCTTTTCAAAATAGTCCACATAATTTTTTTTAAAAAAAAAAAACAGAAAGTAGTTGTTATTTAATAATAGAGAGAATATCATAATTATAGTATTTAATTTTCAGCTTTAAATTTCTTAATGGTTTATTTATCCACATCTTATACTCTCTCCTATCAAATTGTATCTTTTTTTCTTTTACATCCCAAAAAGAATTACATATTCTTATATATAACAACAATTTAACTTTAAAATATTTAATTTATTCTTAATATTACAATATATAGTCACATACACATATATATCCTGCTCATCTTTTTGTGTCAAGAGTTGATTAAAAATATTCTCTCTACATTTCACAATAGAAGGTTCAAAACACGTTATTCTTTTCAAATTTCACTTACAAATTATATTAAATATATTATTATTATTTTATATCTGATCAAATATTGTCACATAAATTAACAACTGGCTAACAAAAATGGAAAAAAGTCATAAAAGTCAAGATTTGAACTATAGAATTTTGCAAATGCTGGTAGACAGAAGGACTGGTAGAATTTAATATTTGCTAACTAACTTATTTCCACGTACACTTCTAAAATCTAAACTTACCACTAATGATTTTCAGGTCCACAATTATTTTTAAATTTTCATAAGTCATTTCTTTTTCTACTATGCGTACGATAATGACCCCCCAACAACTCCAAGCCTCACTTATTTACCCAAAAAAAAATAGTTCTTCATCCTAATAATATGACTTCAAAATAAAATAAAGTTTAGATTTCAACTAGACATTTGATACTTTAAACCATTATGTTTAACACCTTTCTAAGGAAGTAATAATCTTGTGTGTCCATTTACTTTGTGTTAGAGTCAACTTTCACATATTTTGACTAATTTCATGAGATATATGTTATCTTCTATCAACAACATGTAATATATAACTCTATTCATCAAAGCTAATATAGATGCAAATAAGTCTTGTATGTCCACTTTACGAATAGAGGAATGAGAAAGGTCATAATTAACTAAAATAACATATATAATAAATTATACGGATAAGAGTCTGAAAAATACTTCAACTTTGGTCGGATTTGCTGTTGCGATACTAAACTTTCATGAGGACCTATTACCTCCATAGACTATTTAATACCATATTTTAAACATATATATTTGACCACGTAGACATAAAAAATAATGCAAAATTATAAATAGTAATGTGTCCACGTGGGCACATATGTACCTTTAAAATACACTATTAAATAGTTCAGGGGGTAAAAAATGTGGTATTAAATAATCTAGAGAGGTAATAGGTCCTTATGAAAGTTTAGTATCGCAACAACAAATCCGACCAAAGTTTAGATATTTTTCAAACCCTCATCCCTAAATTATAAAATCAAATCTTTCCAACTTCGTAACTCAATATACTCATGTGATTTAGAATAATTGTTCTACTCGTTTGAGTTGTTTCAAGAAGTCAGATGTTTTTCTCGAATCAAAATGTTTAATAATGTGTTTGATTATATTAACTTGTCAGGTTTATATGAAATATTTATTCTCACATAATATAATACCAATTAGTAGAGCAATTTAGAAATATTAATTAGACTTATATATCAAAAACATTATGTACAAATGACAATAGATTATCATATATATCACCATATAAAGAAGAGCAATTTCAAATTTCCTCATCAAAATGGGGAAAATTACATTCTCTATATATGTCATTTTTCTTAATTTTCCAAATTTGAACTCATCTAGTAGTTATTACTACTACTATCATTAATTGCATCTGGGTCCACTTTGCTTCTCCAGATTGTCATATAGGCCCCTACAAAATTAAAAAAGTAGAAAACAGTACCCATTACTTATGCTATTATCACTTTCATATTCATATGTTTATATATTTTGCAATTTTATCAACAAAGATTGTTGAGTCTCCAATCCAGTCTAACTTCATTGGGTCCCACAAAATGCTGACTTGGCTTGTTGAATACGATGACGTGGCTGTTGACCATAAACGCTGTGACCCGCTCCGAAACCCGAATATCCTCCATCTTCAATTCCTGCAGTCTCTTCACGTACTCCGGCGCGTGCACCAGATCCCACACCACCCCAACGCCGCCGGGTTTCAGCACCCTCACCACCTCCCCCAACACCCTCATCCTCTCCGCCGCCGCTACCGCCGTTTTCTGCCCGAACTCCTTCCCCACCGTGTGTACAAACGCCGCCGACGCCACCACGTCGAAGTAATTATCACTGAACGGAAGTTTTCTCGGGTCACCTGACCGGCACGTGACATACTCCTGAACACCTTCAATCCCTGCAGTTCGGAGAGTGGACAGAGAACAAGTCGGTGTTGGATGTAACCCGACGACCCGACCGGATGACCCGGATTTCTTCAGCTGTAGAGCGACGGCGTTGAGGAGGATCCCACGGCCACAGCCAAGGTCAAGAGCATGCTTAACGGAAGACCAATCACCGACGGCGTTCACCATCCGCTGTGCCATTTCCCAGTGAAGCGAAACGGAGGAGTAAAAAATGTTGCCGGCGGCGTAGAAAAGGCAAACGGCGGAGAGTGCTGTGACGGAACCGGTGAATCCGGCGGCGAAACGAGCTGAGCTTGGGCCAGGTAAGAAATGGTGGAAGAAATAGCAGATAGGTTCGAAATAAACTAGAAAAATCACAGACAGTATAGAGAAGAAGATAGCATAAATTAGCAGAAATATCGGGGTTTGCCAATCATCAACACCGTAAATTGAATAGATCTGTCCCCAATCTCTACCAGCTTTCCCCATTCTTAGCTTAATTAACAATTCGCCATAGAAACTTCAAAAATCTGCAAAAATCAGTTAAAAAAAACACGAAACCATCAACATTTCTGTCACTACAAACCAAAAAGAATAGAAAACAAACAAACAAACAGTAATCAAAAGCAACATACAGTGATTTTATCAGATCCCGAAGCAATTAGACAAAGAGTTAGTATACAGCACGCTGTCAGATTTTTCAAATTCTGATGGATAAAATGAGTATTAATAATGGTGATGTAATGCCGCGTTTGTTTGTTTGATTGATTCGTCAGATAATGGAGAGTGCTCTTTTGATGAACAAGTTGTTACCAGTGCCCAGTGCTGTGTGGGGTTTGTTCTAATTCATACTGTATTTATATATGCAGAGAGTTGTTGGGTATGGATCGGGTCGGATAGGGGCGGAGTTATAATACTCCATTAAGTATGCATTTAATATACTTTTTGCTTAGATCTTATATGTATTTACTATGAAATAGCCGGAGTATTTGCTTAGATCTAGTATTTAATACTATGAAATAGGCGGAGTTAAAGATTTTGAATTTACAAATTCTGAAAAATTAAAACATATTTCATTATTTTAATTTATTTGTCTTATTTCCTTTTAATTGGTTTAGAAAATTAATGTTTTTTTCTTGTTCTGACTTTTTGACAACTATTTAATCTTAATTTTTAATATCATGAAAATAAAAATACATGCAATAATGTATCTTTAATGTAAGACCAGAACAATTAAATTAAAATGAAGGGAGGTTAAAAATAATTATTATTACATTTTAGTAGATTTTAAAACATAAATATAAAATCTCAGTTAAAATTATTGAGTTTAGTCAAACATGTAGAAAACAATTAATATTACATGTAAGTAGATTTAAAAACATAAATATAGAATCTAAATTATAACTATTGAGTTTTACCGAATATATAGAGAATAATTATTATTACATGTAAGTAGATTTAATAAAACATAAATATAAAATCTCAGGTAAAATTATTGAGTTTAGTCAAACATGTAGAAAATAATTACTATTACATGTAAGTAGATTTTAAAACATAAATATAGGATCTAAATTATAATTATTGAGTTTTGTTGAATATATAGAGAATAATAATTATTATATGTAAGTAGATTTAAAGACATAAATATAATATCTCAGTTAAAATTATTGAGTTTTACCGAATATGTATAAGGAGTTTAGTTCCATCACCACTATTGAGAAATCTAGTGGGTGATATATATTTATATAAATATCCAATTAAGAACTTGATAATTAAAATGACTCAAATAATAAATTTTAAATTTTGATTACGCCATTTAGAAGATGGTGGGGCAGGAATATTGAAAAAATAGACAAATTAAGTGACTAACTCCATAGTTTTAACAAGAGTCGTCCATATGGAGGTGTTGGATTTGATCTTTACACTATCCAAAATCAATTCCCTAAAGGCCTGCCTCCTCCTATTTTTTCTTTTTTCTTTTATATATATATTATATATATATACAAAAGCATGAAAAGTGATCTTTTCTACTCAAAATACTATCCGTTTAGGACTAATAAATGGACATACAAGTTAACTAGCATTCGTAATAGGGTGAATTTGATTCAATAATATTTTTTTTTTAAATAAAGTTACGTTTGATATATACACCCCTATATATATATATATATATATATATATATATATATATATATATACAGAAGCATGAAAAGTGATCTTTTCTACTCAAAATACTATCCGTTTAGGACTAATAAATGGACATACAAGTTAACTAGCATTCGTAATAGGGTGAATTTGATTCAATAATATTTTTTTTTAAAATAAAGTTACGTTTGATATATATATATATATATATATATATATATATATATAGAAGCATGAAAAGTGATCTTTTCTACTCAAAATACTATCCGTTTAGGACTAATAAATGGACATACAAGTTAACTAGCATTCGTAACTTTATTTTTTTTAAAAATATTATTGAATCAAATTCACCTTATTACGAATGCTAGTTAACTTGTATGTCCATTTATTAGTCCTAAACGGATAGTATTTTGAGTAGAAAAGATCACTTTTCATGCTTCTGTTGTGGACGTTCATATCATAAGAATTTCTGATGAAAAAGAGTTAATTTGTATGGTGAGAGTTTTTCACATATCAATAAATGATAAATCATGATTGCATTAGATTCATTTTAGCAAATGTTTTTTACTATAGAAATATAAATTTGTAGAATTTATGTTTTCTATAAATTTGTAGAATTTATGTAGTTATCTGTCAATTTTTACTTTTTTGAAAAAGAAAAATATCGAACGTCCAAATTCACACTGATAATTAGGTTTATGGGACCCATGTACTACAAATCATGTACTAATTCTTTTTTTCTTTAAAAAGAAGAAAGAGTAATAATGTTTAAATGTAGGTAAAGTTTCAATGTTCAACTGCTATAAATATAAAAGAAAAAAAAAAGTAAAGACATCTGTTCACGTAATAATTAGGGGTAATGAAAGCCTAATTCAAAGTAATATATATAGTTTTAACTTAAATACTATAAGTTAGAATTTTAACTCACATATTGTAATTTAAAATTTTAGTTGAATTAAGTGTTCATCAGAAATAATCAATTTATCTTCATTATATAAGACATTTTTTTATCCGATATCTGATACCTATATTGAAGTCTAACTAATTCAGATTTGTATTGCATAGGGCCTCATTTACTCAAAGTTCGAACCTAAAACTTCTAATTAAAGGAGGAACAATCTCATCCATTACGCACTATCCTTTCGTGACTATAGTATTTGTATTTACATGTTTTATCGTGTTATGGTATATTATATTATTATTATCATACTAATAAAACGTTGTTAGCAATTAGTCAAAATCAACAAGAGAATATGAAATTCCATTGATGATTTTAAAAGTATTTTATGGAAAAATAAGATTGTGGGACTTGCGCTAATCAAGGGATTGTTTAGTCAATAGGAAACAAGGATAAACAAAATTATTATATCTTATTATTGCAATCTTCTTTAACAATATGCTTTAGGAGCCAAGTCATAACTTACTTCTTCAATATTCAAACCAAAAAAAAAAAAAAAGTTTCAAGCAAGGGTGTTAAAAGGAGCAAATTTGATTAAATTTAAACGAATTAAAATAATGAATGTACGGATTTACATTCAAACAAAAGTTATTTGGAATATTGAAATGAAATGGGTTAAATGGGGTCATTTGTGCCTTTATTTCCATTTTGTGTTATAATATCTTACCGTTATATTCGGCATGACTTTTACCCTAAAAAACTTAATTTCACTGCATGACATAAATTTGATTGCTAAAAGATTTTAAAAAAAACATTTGAAGGGTAATTTGTGCAATTTCATTGTAAAAATAAGCTAAACAATGAATTACAATTCTTACTAAATTTTAATTTATTTGTTTATATTTTTATAATTTAATTAAAGTACTTAATATAATTTTTCTTTATAGTTACATATACAATTTATAATTTTATTGATTAAATTGAACGAATCAAAATAGATTGAATTAATTATAATATAACTTATTCAAACTTCAAAATATTCCTCAATTCTTTTCTTTACTTTTAAAAAATAATATATCCTGTAATGTATCTTTACTCTTTAGTATCACTCGGTTTCAATTTCGTTATCACTTTTCTTCTCCGTTAAATTTAATTAATTATTTATGAGAATTTTTTTATTATAAGATGCCACTTTTTTCAACACGCATTGCGCCATAAGACAAATTCAGCCTTCCTTGCATGATTCATGCATTATATTAAGGAGCTCATTCAAGGGTTTTTTCGTCATTCGGAGGAAATAGTACATTTGATTTATTCTTTTCCTTCAACATTTATCTGGGAGCGAATCTAGCTGGGTTCATTCAAATTTCTTTCGATAGAAAATTATATTATTTATATATATAATTAAAATTATTTTTTATGTATATAGTATAGATGTTAAACCCTTTTAGCTAGTTTTTGTGTTTACTTCTTTAAATTTTAAACCCTCTCAGTAAATTTGATTCTGTCACCGCTTAAAAAAAAATTATGATATGTATTTTTAATCTGTCTCAAATAAGTATGATTTAAATTTGGCAATATATTTCTTCAACTTTTAACTATGTAAAATTGTGATAGGATGGATCATATTCGACCTTTGACAATGAAAAAAAAAAAAAACTCTACTAAAAACCACTTATCCATTTAGTGGTCATATATGAGGCCAAAAAGTCGAATTTCTTGAGCTCTGATTCGAATATCAAACACTGAACGTTGAGTTAGAAAACAAAGCAAAATCATATAAATATTTATAACTTGTTGGGAAATATACATGTTATAAAAAAAATCTATTTAAAACTTCATATTCAATCAAATGTTTAGTAAAATATGGACGGACGGATAGAGTTTTGTAGTAAGAATTTAAAATAGAGATAATGGATTCTAAAGGTGAAGAACGTGGGAATGGCTAAAAATTGACCTAAAGTGTTGATGGGGATATTTTTTAGAATAGGTCTTTTTTTTTTATATATATATATATTTGACGGTGCTTTAATTTCCTAGTAGAATATTTATTATGCATAAAGTTATCTTTTTTTTTTCCTTTTTGAGCTCTTGTTTTAATCACAATGGAAAAGTTTTTCCAATACCTTTCTCTTTTTGGTGCAATGAATATACATCACTTTAGTGATTACGTATTCAATAGAATTCAATAATTATAATTTTAATTTGATATTTATATAAAAAATGTTACTACTCAAAATTTATAAATTAAAAAATTTATTTCCGCTTTTTTAATTTATGGACCGAGAAGGTGATGATAAAAAGTCCAAAGTGAAATACACGATCCTATCCAAAAACTTAGAATTTTACTAGTTGGTAGGAAAAACACACATAAAAAGACAAGAAATGCCTCTCTGTATCCCAGTAATTATAAGTGTCCAATCATCAACTAATAAGATATTATATTTGGTTGAAATATAAAGAGGCATAGAAAAAAAAAAAAAAAGGATAAAAGAGCATGTTCACACGATTTATCACATAGAATGCATGTATTTCACGCGATTTACTATATAGAACGTATTAATTTCACATAATTTATTATGCAGAATGGACGCATTTCACGTAATTTGCCATGCATCTTACGTGATTTGTCA